AGAGGGAATAATACACATTTTGATATGAATAGTAGAGATAGAGAGGGTAAAGTAATGCTGTATGGGTCCACACAAACGTCATGCCACCTCAACGTACCCCCCATTAACCTCTCCCTCCCCACTCACAAAGTCAAAAGAAAAGTCTGGATTCGTCTCTGCTGATGGAAAATGACAATGTGAATTTTTAAGCTGCAATGGAAAATCTTTTGCTCCAGAAATAGTAACCCATAGTATACCCCTATCCCACAGGAAGGAACTCATTCTTGTGAGGAACTCATTCTGTCTGTCCAGCTGTGATGCTCTGCTCCATGTTCTGCACACAGGACAAACATCATCATAACACCATTTCTAAATCACACAGGCAATACATATAGACAATCACAGATTTCTGCACTCAGATACAAATATGCAATTAATAAAACCCTTCAAGCCCTACCTTAAATAATGTTTTAATTGTCAGAAGGAGCAATTAAAAAAACCTGAATAAAGACATTTTACATCTCGTTGTCTTTCCTGTGGTTGGCAACAGAGGCAAAACAACATTTCGAGGTAGGGTGCAGAGGTGGGGATTTGTTCCAGCTGATCAAACAGAGGGAAGGAATCTGTTTTGTTCAGAGGGCGAGCATCCAAAGCTCAGGAATGAAGCCTCCTCCCCTCAAACCAGATCATCGCCAATCTCCTGCTGAGGCCCCCTCCTCAACAAGAAAGGGAAGCCAGCAGGGGGAGGCTCATCACATGCTCCATCCTGTTTTTATAATGAAGGTATAAGGACAGCAGATATTAAAACTGATTTTATTACTGCTGCATCTGTGTTTCAGTAAGTCAGGCTACAAATCATTTTCTCCAGGGAAATGCACAAATGACATTTTCTGCATGACTGCAATCACATTCCTATAAATAGATGGGGTAGATTTACATATTTTCTTGGTTGGGTTTTATGAAATGCTATTGTTGCCATTCATTTTGTCGCCTTTTCATCTCAGTCCAATGCTATTAGTGTGTTTTGAAAGTTTTTCATTTTGTTAACTCACAGAAAAATATGTGATAGTATTTTGTCCTGTCCCTCTTGTAGGAAAACACTTAATCCCTCAGCTGTTGTATAAATCCTTGTGATTAGTATCTCACTTTTGATAAGATATGAATATGAACATTACATCATAGCTACAGATGGTATAGATTTAGATTCTGCAGTGAGAACAGTCAGTGAGAACAATAATGCCAAACTGAAATCCCATCAAAGACATACAGGTGTGAGTTACTTACTGCCATTCTTAAACGGTTGTTGGTAATATGTATTTAAGGACTTTATGCAAATCAGTTGGTAAGGTGTGAAACCTGAAAAAAAATCGAGTTGGAATTTCTGTTTTTTAGTTATCTCATTCATCTTAATTCAAAAGTGCACAGAGAAGGGAGCAGTTTGACTCCTAAAACAAAAACATAAAGACTACAGGATACAGTTTTGTTGACTAAAAGCCTCAGGATCTGAAATCAACATGTTATCTTAGATACTAGAGAATCACTGCTCCAGGGACTGTAGGCTTGGCTCCTGTTTATGTAAGAACATTTCATGTGTGGGTTAGTACTCATCTAAAAACAAAAAAAACAATTTACACACTGTATGTTCATTCATTATTACAGACACACAGGTCACTAAAACATGAGGAAGATGAATCAGACTGACCCATGATGAATCCTTTTGTCGGGAAACCACAGAAAACCATCAAAGTGAAACAGAGACATAGACCAAGCTTAGTTAGCTTAGCACAAAGAATATGCTGAAAAGTAATACTTACTCATCTATAGGGAACAGAATCTACCTTGAAGCATCTTAAAACTCAGTTATTATTATATTGAATCACTACATTGGTACAACAACTAAAATGTTCTTTAGTAATCATTGAGAATGAGCTGCAATCCAAAAATACTGAAGTTAAATTATAGTTTCAATTTAAAAAAGAACGAGGCCCCTCGAGGAAAAAAGAAGCTTAGCATTTTGGGGTAATTCACAATTTCTTTTCTTCAAGCATTGCCATTTGAATACATTTTTTATGAGGTCTAGTCCCTGTCTGTAAACCATGTTAGCTTCTGATTTGGCTGAGCTCAACCTTTAAAGCCTATCGCTGATAATGGCTACATGTGACATGAACTCAAGTATCCAGTGGAGGAATCTCTTTTCGTTGTTTGCACGGATCATCCCCCACACACGCTCTCCTCTGTTACAGCTGCAAATTAGACTGTGAAATTGACAACTCATGTGTTGCCATCTGGTTGCCATGACACCTAGTTATTAGGCCTCCCGACATGCCTGGCTCAGCTTGTTTGTTCCTTCTTCCCCCTCCTGCACATTGACATTGTTTCTTGTATAAAAAGGCATCAAACATCACATCTTCATTCTAACCAACAGCACAAATAATAAATACTCTGTCAATCTGTCACATCCTCTAAAAACCTAGCAAAGTAGTTGGGTAACCATTAGGAAGGTGAGGACATCTTAAAGTGGTAGTTTTGATGTATGGTCAGCACGGTCCCTTGCTAGAGCAGCCAGCTGAAGTGTCAACGCTGAAACTAAGCTCATATACTGCTGTGCACAAGGGTTTGCAAAAAATGCATTTATCCCCCTAAATCCAATCTGAAAAACATGAATTCACCCCAAGTTTATTATATGCTTTAAATATTTTCAAAATATCACCGTGTCGTCAGGTCAGACAGCACTTTTCTATTTTCCTGCACATTCTGTTTGGCCCATCAGTTCATACAAGAGACAACATATATAAAAGATAATAACATAATGAAGGAAACAGCAAAATTGGGTTTAAACAAAACGACATTTTTGTTTGGAGCCCTGGGGAAAACACATTCCCTATTGAATATTACCTCATATCACCCTGCTTCAACAAAAATCTGAACTTTTCCTTTAAACATGGAGCTCCACAGTGTGCTTTTGTCCCTTACAGGAATTCAGTCAAACAGGAAATGGTATAATTTCTTCTTTTACATCCCCCCTATTGATTTTCTCTGAGCTGCACAGGTACAAAAGCTTAATTTCCACACTTTCCCACCCCTGTCTGGACCACATTGAGACCTTTAATGCTCCACCGATCAATGAGATGATTAAAGCAATTTAAAGGCTCCTTTGTTCACTTTGTGCGTTGGAATCTCCTTCAGCCTCTGAAATTGCTGCGCTTGCAGGGTGTTCCTTGTGTGTCCTGGAGTAAAAGTGCACAGGGCAGACATGGCCTCTTTGTCAAAGGCTGCTTTATCCCACACAGATACCCCAGGGGACTGTGCTGCAGCCTGGGCCACGGTGGGGGCCGTGGTGACTCATACAGCCCCCTCCCTCCCCTTTTCATCTTGACATTTGACATTCTGATGTAAAGGAGCTCAGCTGGAACAAACACTGTGTGCTGTGTCACAGCTGCAGCGTCTGTTCCTCTGAGAACAGGTAACAATGACTCAGCGGCAATTTCATTCAAACACCTACACTGTGGATCTCAGGGGGCTGTTTTCAAGAGGATTTTATTTTTCTTTCCCAGTCTGTTCCCCGCTGAGGATTCAACATATCACGATGCTACCTAGCGTTTCTTGAAAGTCATTCCTAATTCTGCAAGGACTTGCGGAAAAGGGGGGACCTGGAGTGCAGCATTACATTTTAAAAAACACCAGCTGCACCATTCGGCTGATTCCTGCAAATGTTTGCCATTCATTCTCATTAAATTTTCTTTCCCCTGACAACAAGGATGTTAAATTGTGTTTGGCTATATGTTACCACAAACATAAATGATGCAGCGATGCAAGAGGGGATTCTGACCTAATGAACCCCTCTGAGACCACTCACCATCAGGACCTCCATCTCTCTGCTCTGCCTCAACAAAGCAGCAGAAAGTGGCCACAAAGACTCACTCTTCAGCTGAAGGTGGATGTTGATGAGCCACTCAGAGGAGATGCTGGCACACACTTCTCTCGCTCTATTAAGTGGCGATTCCCCCGACAGACCACTTCACTCTGCACCAGTGATTCACAACAATCTCTGAAATTAGTGGGAGTCAAAACAAGGTTAAAAAAATCAAAGCTGAAATCAATCTCTTTAAACCATTATATTTTTAACTAAATTATTTTGCTCAGTAGATCTCTGAGGCCAAAGGTTGATATGAGAAGTAATAACATACCTTTGTAGTTTGCCTTTAAATATTATTTTTTTTATCCTTAGCTAGAAGCTTTGGACAGGGCTCTATATTGCCTCAAATGTCACAGTGGTGTGGCACAGGTGTGCTCCACTTACTCACACAAAGCTTTCATCACTGTGCTGCTCAAAAGAAGACGCATCTAAGGATAATAATAACTGCCAATTTAATCAAAGTAAAAATGGGGCTCAATCTTTAGCAAAAAGCTAACCAGTTGACTTCAGGCTAGCATTTAGAACCCGTTTAAATCTAAATGGTGTCCTGGATGTTGCTGTCCATCGGCCAACACTGTTGAGTTCTGGGAGTCAGAAGTGGACATGTGTGAGGATAGCTAATATCATCATTGTCACTACCTGGAGCTGCATCAACACAGCAACACAGCCCGGGTCTGTTGACGGTGGCAATGGTGTTTTGGTTGCCGTGGCAACTAAGGGCCATACTGGGTAAGTTAAGTAACTTATCAGTAGAGCATAGGGGCGTAATTGGGATGAGATATGTCTCAATGAGTGCTTATCCTTTTATTAGGCCATCTTGTGTTTATTTAAAATCCAAACACCTCATATTTGTAGTAAAAGTGGAATTCAAATGAGTGGCATAGGTATCCCAATTATAGCCAAATAGAAGTGGACAATTTATACACAGTCTCTATTTTTGACAAAGTTAGGACAATATAGTGAAGGTGGATTCAAGCCTTGAAAACCCCAAATACACGAGACGTTTCATGAATAAAAATAGAGCTATAGTCAAGACGTACGAGTAGGACAAGAACTGTTAAAGAGAAATACTCTGGTAATAAAATCTCAGTGAGCAATCATTCACTTCATTTCACTCAAGCTTGATAGCCTCAGTCGAGTGTTGAACGCACTTTTATTGTTCAGGTGTCAAATGTAACAGTGTCACCATTCAGAGAGGGAATAAAGAGTAAATGGTCACATAAAAAAATATAAAATCAACAATGAAAATGGTCACACGGGTAAAGTCTGCCGTCCCGTGGAAACACAGATGTACAGTTGAGACAGTGTCCAGATGTCCAGACAGTGTATGTGTTTGGTTTGCACGTTTCCACAGCCTATAATAAGTAAGAGTCCTTTTTTTGTTTACTAGCCATGCATACAGTTGACATTTCCACGTGTTGAGTCAGTGTCTTATAGGAGCTGGCACTTCAATACAAAATATTTACACTACCATTAATTACCTTATCATCATCGTCGTCGTCTTTACTATTTGATTCTATGGGTCTGAACACTCAAAGCACAGAAAGGATGGGATCAGGATGTTCAATCGTTAAGCACCCTGTGTCATCGTAAAACCAGGAGGAGAAAAATAAAATGCTGAGGCTGACAAATGTTGGCAAATTCACTTGTTCCTGTAACAAGTGACAAGTGTAAATGTTCCTGAAAAGAGTTGCTGTAGACATTTCAAAACACTGAAAAGATGAACTCTTTGTCTTGTCATGATGAAGCAGTTGGATATATTATAACCGGGCAATCTGTCAACAAGAATCTCCCAGAGAGAAAGAGAGAGAGAGAGAAAGAGAGAGAGAGAGAGAGAGAGAGAGAGAGAGAGAGAGAGAGAAACAAAACATCACACGATATGTAAATATCAACAATACTGCTATGTTTACCTTTGTATCTTCACATTAGAAAAGAGGAAAGACACTGCACCTTTTCTTTCAATTCCTTTTTTGAACAACACAAAAAAATAAGAAAATGGAGGCGCTGTCAGGTCACCTCTTTGGTTGAGCCCTGTAATGAGTAGAAAAACCCTCCCTCTAATCACTGCACACATCTAATACTCATCAGTATGTAAAACAACTGGACCCCAGAAATATGTTGAGACTGATGCACAGTAACTAATGAAGTCGTGGTTACAACAAAATGCATCATGATGTTTTGAATTCGCTCGTAATACAGACAGAAAACGGACCTTCTTTCCCTCCTTTGTTAGCAGATTGTGGAGCAGCATATAAAGATCCTGATGTGTGATTCTTTGCAGATGATTCACTCCAAACTCAATGGATAAAACAAACCTGGACGCAACAGAAGAGAGTAACATAAGGCGAGTGCACGTTCATTTTTTTTTTGTCATTTGTCAAATTCTCTAGTGGCAAATTCCTGGCATTCCTCTCCATGACTCACGTGGTGTTATGAATAATCACGTCTCTGCTGATTTTAGGCTCCAAAGAGTTCAAATCCATCGAGCACAACCACAAATTGACCTCCTGTTTAATTGGCATGTGCATGTGTGTGTCTCTAAGTGTGTTTTCATCCTGCTCCCTCTTGGTAGACATCCCCCCCCCCGCCCCCCCCGGCCTGTTCCTGGACGCCCCCCCCGGCCTGTTCCTGGACGCCCCCCCTTCAGGGCTATTGTATATTGCAAGACGAGCAGCAGGGGTCGTCCTTGTCTGGCTGGGCGGCGTAGTCCATCTGCCGAACGATCTCAGCGAATAGTTCGTCTACCATGGTTTTGCTTTTGGCCGAGGTCTCCATGAACGGGCAGCCCCACTCCTCTGCCAGGGCTTGGCCTTCGCTGGACGATACCTCCCTCTCACTCTCCAGGTCAACCTTGTTCCCCACCAGGATCACAGGAACCTTCTCGTACCTGAGGACAGACACACATCCACATCAGGTGATCAGACATAGAAACGCACAAGAAGAAGAAATAAGAACCAATCAGGGAGTTTTTCTGTTTTTATATTTCCACTGAACTTTCAGTTTGAAATTATAAGTCATGTTCATTTCTAAACTTTTTTTTCCCACTCTTAATGTGTCAACGTGCTTTAACTGCACCACTGAATGTCCTCAGTTTGATGAACATTTTAAAACCTTCACTCAGTGCTACTATTTAACATCCACAACACACCATTTGACTTAAATGGCATCTAACAACCTAATAAAATATGACCTTATTTCACATCATCACCTTCTTTCATTGGCAACCCTTTATCACTTCTGACATCATGCCAAGAAGCTTAAATACTGTTTTAATGTCAAACTGTTTTGTTCAAGGTTGCAAGTACTGTTGGGAGTAACATGTTACTGTAACGCCACACGACTCCACGCCTTACTGTTATACCACTTCTGTTTGCAGTAACTACTAGTGCTTCTAGATAGTTTTCTTCTTCAATAACGAGCAACAATAACATAGATTTAAAAGCACTTGTTACTTTATGTGAAATAGCCGACAACACAAGATTCTGTTTTATTGACATGGACTCAGCAGGTGAGGTTACGATGTTAGCACAGTCACATCCTGGGAGAAAGAATGTCGCAGTAAACCCACACAAAGGCTCATGATCATTCAGGTGTTTCCTTTCGGTCTTGGAAATACCAATATCATTTTTCACTGTTTGAGTTAAACGTCAACATTATCGCTGTATATTGCAGTCTATGTGCAGGAAGTAAAACCTTGTCAATCATCAAGAAAGTTATATTAATCCCATGAAGCACCGAGCTAAACGATACATGTCTACTAAACTAGTTGTCAGAGTGACCAAGGCTGTAAACCGAGACTCCCAGGTGCAGCTCACCTTAACTCTACAGATAAAGGAGGAGCCACTCAACACAAACAGGAAGCTTGATTTTAAATCACCATCAGCTCCACGATCAGAAAACCAAGACGAAACAGACTGATGGCAAGGTATGTTATTTCTTCCCATATCAACTGTTGCCCTATCTAATGAGCAAAATGCCTTCATATTGAAGATGGCAACAATATTAAATGACAATGACAAGTAGTTTCCTCTCACACTGCCATAGCAACACTAAATAATGTTTACATTAATAAAACTATTGAAGCAAAAAGAAGCAATGCTAAAGTTACTTATTATGAAGTAACTCAGTAACTTATTTACTTTCTGTATCTATTAACTGTAACTTGCTACTCATTTTCAGTAACTTGCCCTTGTTACGGTTCAGTTGGAAAAACAAGGGAGGGGGACCCAAGAGCAGAATTAACTAACTATTTATTTTAACAAAAAGGCAAACAAAAAGTCACTTCAGAAAGTACAACAAAAAACACAGGGATCAAAAAACAGGGAGCCACAGAGGAGCACGAGCAAAAACTGACATACCAACGAACGACATACAAACAACAATGAACTGACCCAGAAGAGAAGAAACACAGAGACTAAATAGACACGGGGTAATCAAACACAGGTGAGACTAACGACACAGGTGAAGACAATCAGGGCAATCAACACTGGAGGGAAACACACAGAGGAAGGAATGAACACAAGACAAGAAACACTGAGGACAACTACAAAATAAATACAGGAAACACTGAAGACACACAGAACTCAAGAATGAAACAAAACACACTAGAACATAAAGAAACACTAAACACTGAAAAACAAAACTAGAAAAGACCAAATCATGACAGCCCTTCACTGGTTACAAGGTACCAAAATAAAGGCACACAAATTCAATCTAGCTAAACAAATGTAAGTTTGATTAGGGTCAATTTATCTAGGAATTGGTTAAATTATATAGCTGTTGTGACTTAGCTGTTAATATTAAAAAATAAATATGTTCTCTTATTTTTAAATATGGCCTCTGTCTTACTGAATTTTGCATAATTATTGTCTTTTTGATTCCTGATTAATCAAGTAATGGTAAAATATCACAAAATGTGATTTTAAACACAGCAGAGCAACATTATAACACATTTCATCTTTCGACCCTCAGCATGATGTCAGCGGAACATGTAAATATAGTTAAAGGAAAACCTAACCTCATTAAATCATTTTCTTAAACTGCTTTTCCTTGTTTATGGGAGGCAGGCAGCCTTGAAATGTCGGTGAGGTCTTTTTCTATCACAGAAAGTTTTTCAGGGCTGTCTCTTGTTAACATGCACTGTAAACACTTTGCTGTTGGAGGAACCTACTATCTGTCTATCTACAACACTGACGGTCATTTTGAGCCTGATAGCTCCATTAAAAGGTCCAGCTGGTTTTCAGTGACACTGCTAAAAAACAGAGATGAGACTTGAAATCAATTGCAAAGAAAAACTACAGCAAAAAAGTTGACTTCCCAACTCCAGGTTTATGACCTGATATTATTGGTAGTTCTTTTTGAAAAGCTCACTTTCTCCTTTCTGTATGACAAAAGTGTTAAGCCAAGTTGGGGTCAAACCATTGGCTTATTATGGGCAGAAGGCTAATCGAAAGAAACATGTTTTTTTTTGGTATTTGGTTGGTGGGAGGAAGCTTTTCATAAAAATAATCAGGGCAGCACCATTTTTCTGTCGGGTGCTAACCAGTGAACCTCCACTTAACGACCATGCCACCATGCCTCGTGTAAGCATCAAGTCCAAAGCATGAACAGGAAATGGATAGTAGAGCTCTGACCTCTGAGGGTGGGAGCTGGACATAATCCTCTGAGCTGTGAACTCTCCCGTCATGTTGCCTGAGCACAAGATGTTACTCTGGAACTGGACTACTTAGTCGACAGCCAGAGGAGACGCTTAAACAGGCTGAAATTATCAAAAGGAACGACTGGGTCGCTTTTTCAAGGACGTAATTGCTACATCAATTTTGCTGTTGGAAAACATGGCGGGTCTCTGAGGTAGTTTGCACACATCAGAAGAGAGAGATCAGAAACATCACACAGATACCAGATCATGTGGACGCATATCCCTTGCTAAACAAGAGGTAGTTCTTTCATCTTATCTGTATCCATCTGTTGGACCTGTTGTCTGAACACACTTTAAATGTCTTTGTTCATAAAACACTCAGCAGCATCGTCACATCTATAGATTCATGCCCTCAACACCAATCAGCATCATTAGGGTTTTCAAAAGCTGCCCTCGCCCTCTGAAAAAAACATGATTCTGAATTATTAATAGGACAAAAAATGATGCTCATCCTCAATTGCTATGGTAACAGGTATACAAGGACATATCTGACACTGGAGAGATTTGGAGACTGAAGAAACAGCAGCTTCAGTCCACGTTTAGGATCTGTTGGAGGCCAGGGGATGCAGGTTTCAGAGTTTAACAAGCTTAAACTTAACGAGAATAGAGAGTGGATTCTGATCAATGAATACGTTATCCTGAGTGAACTTCAATCTCGCTGCTCGCTGGCTGATATGAAGAACCAGGATTTCAGAAACAAGCTCAGAGGTCTTCCTGTGTGTAACCTAGAGTTTGATAGTGTTCTAGGACTGAATGAGAAAACAACAAAGATAAACGAAAGAGACATGTACAGTACCAAGGTCTCATTCAATGCATTTTTTGATGTCAATAAAAACATCAAGGCCACTGAGAGCTGTTTTTGAATACTTCTCATTGGTAGTGGGCCTGGACCTTACATTTCCCCTTCCCACCTCCTGAAAAACCCTAAACTTAGTTGTGGTTTAGCAGATTGCAAGGCAAGAACCTTTACTTTTATAGCAGCACTCATTTAGGAGAAGCCAAAGAGGGCTTAGCGTGTAGTTTGGGGGAAAGGGTCCTATTTGGGTGACTCTTTTCTGCCCCAGTCTGTGGCTTTAGTGAAAAATCTCCTGCTGTAACTGTCTGAAGGTGGTCTGTTGAAATCCAGCTGTACATTATCACACTTCAGTTTTATACCAGCTCCTGCTCATATCAATCACTTGCATGTGTGGTTAAATGTAACTATAATAAAAGGACTTAACATCAAGTTATGTAGCTGTATGGGAAGTTATTGTAACATGTGCAGCACAAAGACATCTGGTACCAAAGGACCAGGTCTAAATATAGTCTCAGTAACAGAGGAGGAGACCGGCAGTCCCAGGAGGTGTGAGACAGAGTCAGCCGCAGATACCAAAGCTCCCCAGGCCTCAGTGTGAAGGGTGTCGGCACAACCCTGTGCCTGGAACCGACGGTGGCTGATGCACGGAGAGCAGATCACATGGTTCAGTCACGAGTCTCAAAAGACGACTCAATAAATGGGTCTGCTTGTGTTTGTGCACAGCTCACACAACATGCCATGCCGCAGCCTTCAGCTTGTGATTTGGATAACGCCTGCATTTGAGCTCTCTGACTGCAAACACCCACCCGAGCTCGCCCAGACACACCTTATCTATAATGCATGATGCATCAACTCACAGAGGCCTTGCTGAGGGACGGCGACCCAAGAGCATCCACCTTTGACTCTGGCCAACGCCGTCAGGCTGAAGGAGGAAACAGGCAGCGTGCTGGGCCTCCTCCCAGTGGCCCTTTTGGGGGGGGGGGGGTCTATGGTTTAGTCAGAGGAGAGGAATCAGCTGAGTCAGAGAGCAGCAATAAGCTCCTCTCTTCTGGCAGAGCATCAGGGCAAAGAAAGATTTAATGAGGAATAGATATCTGGAGAGTCTTTGGTAAACTCACCACGACAAATAAATGAAGACTTTGTGTTTTACAAAAGCAGGCAAGATAAAAACACAATATCAGGGAATGCTACCCAAAGCCTCTTTTGGATTCCCTCGAGGTTTTGAAAAGTAATTATCTGCTTTCAGAATCAGATGCTTTTCACAGATGATGGAGACACTGTCCAAGATGTCTCAAGAATGGAAAAGGAAAAAGGAATATTGTTCTTCACAGACTAGACAGGCAAGTCATCCTTGTTTCTGAAATATTGCAGCCATAATACAGCATAGTCGCAG